ACTAAAGGCAGTTTAACTAGAATCTTGAATATTAATGTTGCTACGTCCTTGAGAGGTTTCTTTCTGCAAAGTTTTAGAACAATGAAGCCAATAAGACAAACTAAACAAATCTAAAAGACTAAGATTCTAGAACAGTATGTACTAGGTCTTTGTTCTGAACTCAAAGTAGCATATTCTTATCCATTTCTTAAGTAACATAGTAGTAAGACATGATGCGGTGGCTTAGTGGCTAAGATGCTGAGCTTGTCGATCGAAAGGTTGACAGTTCAGTGGTTCGAATCCCTAGTGCCGTGTAACGGGGTGAGCTCCCGTTACTTCTCCCAGCTTCTGCCAACCTAGCAGTTTGAAAGCACGTAAAAAAATGCAAGTAGAAAAATAGGTACCACCTTTGGTAGGAAGGTAACAGTGTTCCGTGCGCCTTTGGCATTTAGTCATGCCGGCCACATGACCACATGAAGACGGAAACATCTTCAGACAGCGCTGGCTCTTCAGCCTTGAAACGGTGATGACCACCACCCTCTAGAGTCGGGAACGACTAGCACATATATGCAAGAGGAACCTTTACCTTTAAGACATATTCAAAAGAGCATTTGTTCTCAACTCAAGCATGTATGTTCCTATCTATTTCTTAGGTAACATAGAAGTAAGACATCATATTGAGCCATTACCTTGAGACCCATTGCATTATTGTTAAAGAGGAACTTTATTCTTTAGGGCAGAAACTAACTTTTTGGTATAAAATTGTGCCATCACTTTTTAGCACCAACACCTCCTATTCTGTAAACCTTGAGTTTGGCTCCCTGTCATTGAATCTGGACTGAACTGTATAATTTACCAGTTCTGTTAGGGAATTAGCATTTCCTGTTATTAGCTTGAAGGAGATTTGAGCTTTTTCTTAAAACAAAAATCTAGAGAATTATTTATTGTGCCTAATGCCTGACTTTAATCTATTTCCTGTTACTGATCTCCCACTGATCTGATCACATCTGAACCATAACATCATTTCTTTTCATCTTTCTAAAAACTTGTCTCCATGTGCCGTGAATTAAGTTTATGTCACACAGTTAGAGCACTTGTGTTTGGAAGACACCATCTGAGCAATCCAAGTTATACTGTTATTACCAGCTTATCATTTCTTTTAACCTTTTAAGTATCTCATTTTTCACTCCGGAAATATGTTGTTGATGCCTGGGTAACTTTTCTGCTTTGAAAAACTATTCTGGTAATATACCTTAAAAAAAAAAATTTTAAATGCACATTGAATTTACAATGACTATAATCTTCATTAATCTTCCCTTATTTTATCATTTCCTTGTTATTACTTGAGCAAACATGTATATTGTGTTTTTAAAAAAACATTATAGTTCTTGAGGAGATAAGTGAGTCGTTTTAGGATGGATTAAAATAAGCATCCTTTCTTAGCAATGATGGAGTGCACATTGTGGTTCAATTTGGTTATTTTCAGAAATGGGTCCATTAAAGAGCAAGCTTGACACTAAGTACAATAGTCTCCGCACCATTTGCATAATTTAAAAGTATTATGATTTTTCAGAAAATCCTACTCCATTTCCCAATCTGGAATTCCCATTTATATTAGGTTAATGGCTCGATCCAATCGGTCAGCCCTAGAGGAAATCAACCCTGACTGCTCTTTAGAAGGCCAGGTCCTGAAGATGAAACTCAAATATTTTGGCCACCTAATGAGAAGAGCCTAATGCTGGGAAAGATTGAGGGCAAAAGAAGAGGGGGACGACAGAGAGTCAGGTGGCTGGATGGAGTCACTGAAGTAGTAGCAGTGGTGAGTTGCCTCCGGTTCGGACTGGTTCTATAGAACCGGTAGTAAAACTGGTGGGAGGCTCCGCCCACTGACCCTGACATCATCAGAAGTGATCTGCGCATGTGCAGAAGCAAGGCACATGTGCGAGCGAAGCAAGCGCACGCGCACGATCCCATTGTGAACCGGTAGTAAAGGTAAGTAGAACCCACCCCTAAGCAGTAGGTGTGAGCTTAAATGGACTCCAGAGGATGGTAGAGGACAGGAAGGCCTGAAGGAATGTTGTCCAGGGAGTCGCAATGGGTCAGACACGACTTCACAACTAACAACAACAACAATGGCTCTCAGAGTTTGGAGCAGCATAGTCATTGGTCAAAAGTACAAAAGATGTTCCAGAGATCTTTTCTAACTTTCTGGTGGAATTACAATCAGATCCTGTTTATGAGATGGCATAATTTTACAGGAGGGACACCTTTTCTGCTTTTAAAGAACTTCTATGGGGGGGTGGGAAACAATACCCAAGTTACATTGACAGGTGGGAGAGAATCTACTGCCATTTCTTCTTTGTTTTTCTGTGGTGCTAAAAAGAGTTTAGAAACACAGACAATATAATTTACTAGGCAAAACTGTCTGACCACATACGGATATAATATTTGTGGATATAACTGATACAAATACAGGTAGTCCTCGACTTACAATAGTTTATTTAGTGACTGTTCAAAGTTACAACGGCACTGAAAAATGTGACTTGTGACCATTTTTCACAGTTGCAACCTTTGCAACATCCCCATGATCATGTGATCAAAATTCAGAGGCTTGGCAAATGGTTCATATTTATGACCTTTGCTGTGTCCCAAGGTCATGTGTTCACCTCTGTGACCTTCTGATAAGCAAAGTCAATGAGGAAGCCAGATTCATTTAACATCCACATTACTAACCTATCAACTGCAGTGATTCACTTAAGGCAAGAAAAGTCATAAAATGGAACAAAACTCACTTAACAAATGTCTCACTTAACAATAAAAATTTTGCACTCAGTTGTGGTCGTACATTGAGGACTACCCATATATTGCACCGGTGACTTGGTAGCTGATTTCTGGAGGAAATGTTTTCAGCAGGTTAATAGAATCTAAACTTTGCAGGACTGGAAGATTAGCTTCTTGAGGTTTGAACAAAAGTAACCCCCTCATGTGTTAATACTTTTATTGTGAAACATGTCTCTTTCTGCATGAATTCCAGAAAGGCTGTGCTATGTGATAAATAGTACAAGCTGTGTGGTTGACTCTCACTCACAATATTGCTTTCAATTCTTCGCTAATGTAAGGTTCTCATATTTTACTGTATATATTGCAAAAAGAGCCATTTTTCTGAATTCAGTTTCTATGGAAAGCAAAGATGTAATTACAATAAAGGCAGGAAACTCTTGCTATCATCAGGATCCTCTTATTCTCAGCTAACATTCTTAGTCATACAGCCTCATCCAAAATTAATGACTTTCGGAAATAAATTGTTAGGGTGATATCAATTCTCTCAAAAGAAAAGACATAGGCAAGTTCCAAAACCATCAGGACTAAACAATGTAAAAGGATGCAAATGACCAGCTGTCTGCAAGGAATAGCAATAGCAATAGCACTTAGATTTACATACCGCTTCACAGTGCTTTACAGCCCTCTCTAAGCAGTTTACAGAGTCAACATATTGCCCCCAACAATCTGGGCCCACATTTTACCCACCTCAGAAGATGGAAGGCTGAGTCAATCTTGAGCCTGGTGAGATTCGATCTGCCAAATTGCTTGCAGCCAGTGATCAGCAGAAGTAGCCTGCAGTACTGCACTTTAACCACTGTGCCACCACAGCTCATTTAATCCTTCCATTCCCCACTATTCTGTCAGAGATTCTTGGATGAGAAGCGAAACGTCTTCAAAAGAAAAAAAAACAAGAAAGTCCAATTGCTTCCTGAAAAAGCACCTTTGGGACAACCATGACCTGAATGACTGAGAATCTCTAAGACCATCAAGACTAAATTTCTCAGCAATAAAAACTGGGTAGAGTAGGATGAAAGACGGGAGTAGAGGAAGACCATCTTTAATAAAATAGCTGGAGCAAAATTACATGTTTATGTGGACAACTGAGAATTGTGATGAATTTTTAAGCACCATGTCCGGTTCTTTTTTGACAACATAAACTCTGATAGTGTGCATGACTGGAACTAAAAGAAAGAAAAAAAAAACAGACTGAGTTCTCGGAATCTTATGAAATTGATACTGGGGGAAAGATTGGCATCAGATTGTGTAATGATTGCAGAAGGATATGGCTATATTTTGATTGTACCCCATTATAGTTAAGATAGAGAGCTAATTTAATGTAGTGGTTAAGACATCAGGCTAGAAACCAGGAGGCTGTGAATTCTAGTTCTGCCTTGGGCATGAAGCCAGCTGGGTGATCTTGGACCGGTCACTTTCTCTCAGCTCTAGGAAGCAGGCAATGGCAAACCAGTTCTGAAAAACTTTTTGCCAAGTAAGTTGGAGGGACATGACTGTACAAAAGAAAAATAATTAACTAATATGATCTTGAGAAATATGCAGTCAATGAATACTCAGGTAACTTTTAGTTGCAGAGAAATAGAGTCCATTCAACCTAACTATAATATATTATGGATCTCCATATATGGCATTTCAAAAGACCTATTCTCACATATACAGTGAATATTGCACCAATAATTATTATACCTTAAGGCTCATTTTGCAAGATGCTTAAGTTAACAGAGTTTTGCTGCAGAAGAAAATATAGACAAAAAAAAAAAAATACAGGGGAGCATAACCATTGGGGTTCTTTTGGACTGTAGTTAGGCCTTCTATCAAATGCAGATGGTCTGCTGGGAAAAAGAACTATAACATAATAGAGTCAAAGTCCATATTTAAAGCTGATTTGTACTTTCAGAAACCCATGGTGTAGCTATCCTGAAATTTACCATTTCAAGGGGCACGAGGAGAAAGAGATTCCCATAAATGCTCCCACCCATGGTATAATTGCTTCTATTTTACGATCTCTCTATTATGCCTGTTTAATCATTTAAGTTAGGGTGGTTTTACTGTTGTTAGTCACTGTTGGTTTTATTGAGAAAAAGCAGGACATAAGTGGATTTACCAAACAGGTAATTATAAAGACAAAAATTGACATATAGTTAATCAACATTTTAGGTAACCAAGCTTAATTTCTTTTCTAGGATTCTTCAGAGATTGGTAGAAGAGAAAATATTCAAAGATTAGATCCTCTGCATGTCTTTGAATATCAGTTCAAGTCTACCCTTAACCATAGAAGCTCAGTAGCTTACTTTACGTGAGTCAATCTCTCTCTTCCCCCCACCCTCTCTTTTTCTTCTCAACTCACAATATTATTGTAACAGGAAAAAAAATGGAGGACAGAATACTATCTTCTGAAGGAAAGGTGGGTTATATATAAGCCTAACAAATGTAAAGAAAAAAACTGAGAGGTACAGATCAGGACCATAATCCACATATATTCTTTGCAAAAAATAGTATTGCTGGCACAGCTCTAAGCCAGATTCCTAGGTGCTGGAAATCCCCAGGTGCACAGAATAAGTGGGCATGGGGTATGTATTAGATAGTAGCTATGGTAGAACTAGAGACCCAGGGTCTCTAGTTGCAGGGTCGAGCTGAGGATTTTGTGCAGTATCTGTATGACAAAATCGCTCAGATTCGGGAAGGGCTGGCCTCTGACTGGGTATGTCCAGATGGGATGACTGAGGCAGGTCTTGAGAGTGTTATCTGGGGGGAGTTCGATCCTGTGGCTCCCGAGGACATGGACAGGGTCCTGGGACGGCTGAACGCGACCACATGTTTATTGGACCCGTGTCCCTCCTGGTTGGTACTGGCTTCCCGGGAGGTGACACGAGGCTGGCTCCAGAAGATTGTTAACGCTTCTTTGAGTGAGGGAGTCTTGCCGGCCGCTTTGAAAGAAGCGGTGGTGAGGCCCCTCCTCAAGAAGCCTTCTCTGGATCCGGCTGTTTTGGCTAACTATCGTCCAGTCTCCAACCTTCGCTTCATTGCGAAGGTTGTTGAGAGTGTGGTGGCGCAACAGCTTCCCCGGTACCTGGATGAAGCTGTCTATCTAGACCCTCTCCAGTCCGGCTTCCGGCCTGGGCACAGCACGGAAACGGCATTGGTCGCATTGGTGGATGATCTCTGGAGGGCCCGGGATAGGGGTTGCTCCTCTATCCTGGTCCTGTTAGACCTCTCAGCGGCTTTTGATACCATCGACCATGGTATCATGTTGCACCGGTTGGCGGGGTTGGGGGTGGGAGGCACCGTTTTGAGGTGGTTCTCCTCCTACCTCTCTGACCGGTCGCAATCTGTGTTGACAGGGGGGCAGCGGTCGACCCCGAGGCACCTTGCTTGTGGGGTGCCACAAGGGTCGGTCCTCTCGCCCCTTCTGTTCAACATTTATGTAAAGCCGCTGGGTGAGATCATCCGTGGCTTCGGGGTGGAGTTCCATCAGTACGCTGATGACACCCAGCTGTACATCTCCACCCCAGGCCACCCCAATGATGCCCTTAAAGTGATGTCCCAGTGCCTGGAGGCCGTGCGGGCCTGGATGGGGAGAAACAGGCTCCAACTCAACCCCTCCAAGACCGAGTGGCTGTGGCTTCCGGCGTCCCGATATAGCCAGCTGACGCCATCGCTGGCTATTGGGGGCGAATCACTCGCCCCCACGGAGAGGGCTCGTAACTTGGGCGTCCTCCTGGACGCACGGCTGTCGTTAGAAGATCATTTGGCGGCCGTGGCCAGGGGGGCTTTTTATCAGGTCCGCCTGATACGCCAGTTGCGCCCCTTTCTAGATCGGGACTCCCTACGCACAGTCACTCAGGCACTCGTCACTTCCCGCCTGGACTACTGCAACGCTCTCTACATGGGGCTCCCCCTGGGGTGCACCCGGAGGCTCCAGCTGGTCCAGAACGCGGCCGCGCGGGGGATTTTGGGGGCGACGAGGCGCTCCCACGTGACACCTCTCCTGCGCGAGCTGCACTGGCTCCCGGTGGTCTTCCGGGTGCGCTTCAAGGTGTTGGTGACCACCTTTAAAGCGCTCCATGGCTTAGGGCCGGGGTACTTACGAGACCGCCTTCTGCCACCAATAGCCTCCCACCAGCCAGTACGCTCCCACAGAGTGGGCCTCCTCAGGGTGCCGTCCGCCAGACAATGTCGGCTGGCGACCCCCAGGGGGAGAGCCTTCTCTGTGGCGGCGCCCACCCTCTGGAACAACCTCCCCCCAGAGCTACGTACAATAACAGACCTCCGGATTTTTCGTCGGGCCCTAAAAACCCATTTATTTCAACTAGCTGGGCTGTCTTGAGTCAAATTTTAAACGGATTTTAAATTGGAATGTTTTAATTACGGCCAAAATTATTTAATTATTTTAAACAGATTTTAGATTTTGTATGTTTTGTATGTATGTCTTGTTTTTACTTTGGCTGTTCACCGCCCTGAGTCCTACATTGGAGAAGGGCGGTATAGAAATTTAAACAAATAAATAAAATAAAATAAAAAAAGACCCAGTTTGGTGAACTGGTTAAGGTATGGGGCTAGAAACCAGGACACTGTGATTTTTAGTGCCACCTTAGCAGAGGTGGTATTCAGCAGGTTGTGACCAGTTCTGGAGAACCAGTAGCGGAAATTTTGAGAAGATTGGCGAACCAGTAAATACCACCTCTGACTGGCCCCTGACCTCTGACTGACTATTCTCTGCCTCCCGAGTCCCAGCTGATCAGGAGGGAATGGGGATTTTGCAGTATCCTTCTCCTGCAATGCCCACCAAGCCACACCCACCGAGCCATGCCCACAAAACCGGTAGTAAAAAAATTTGAATCCCACCACTGCACCTTAGGCACAAAGCCAGCTGAGTGCCTTTAAGCCAGTCCCTCTCTGGCAATGGCAGAAGGAAGAAGGCAATGGCAAGCCACTTCTGAAAATTTTGCAAGAAAACTTCAAGGGCTAGTTCAGGCAATTGCCAGGATTCAACAATGACTTGAAGGCAGGTGTACACATACAAAGGCCAAAAATATCAACTTTAGTCTCAATTCTTAGATCCTTTTGTTTAATGCAAAGCATCCATTGTATAAGACAGGGGTCTTCAACCTTATATACTCAAAGAGCCATTTGGACCCGTTTCCCACAGAAAAGAAAACACTGGGAGCTACAAAACCTGGATGGGTATGGCCAACTCGATGTCAATAACTTTCACCAGTCACATGACCCCCCCCCCAGCCACGCCTACCTAGCCAGTCATTAGGGCAGAGAACCAGTTGTTCAAAAACACCAGGAACCACAAAATCCTTTTGACATATCCCTCCCCCGCTCTCTTCCCCCCTCTCTGTATCTCTCTGTCTCTGCCCTGGCTGCTTCTCCATCCCCCGCCGTTGCCCTTACCTACTTAGGCCAGGCGTGGAGTGACTGGGAGGGGAGGGCAAGGGGCAGGGCCAGCCAGTGTCGGGATCACCTGACAGGGAGCCACAGCAGAGGGCTCAAAGAGCCACATGCGGCTCCGGAGCCATAGGTTGCTGACCCCTGGTATAGGAGGTTTATTACCTCATTGTCCCCATTCATTATTGCGCATTCCAATATACCTATCAACAAATCCAATCAGAATATGTCAAGTCATATTCATTGTTCATCCTATAACATGACCCCTAATTATATATAATTATTTTTTGAAACCAATCAAATGACAGACTCATTTGCATTTGTCTCTAAAGAAGGCTTATAATTCCATCCTATTTTAGGCTTCTCTATTTCACCTTCAGTACCAACTCTGTTAATAAACCAATATGCGTTCAGTGTAATGGTATCCTGGTTCAATGAGAAAATGCTTCTTCTCGAAAAAACAAAATGAGAAAATTTGATATGTGAAAAGAATATTGTTGAGTGTGTCAGTTGTTTCAGTCACTGGAATGACTGGCTTGTCGAAGGTGGTCAAATACATTGTACAACTTTGCCAAAATCTCTTCCTACCAACTGGAAGGAATTTCCCCATTCTCGTCCTTCTTCTCAAGAAGGATGTTACCCATATTTCTCTTACTTTGCCATTATGCAGGGACAGCAGCTGTCACAGTGATGACTCAGCTGCGTTCTTCTCCATTAAATCAGAATTTTGAGCCACCAAAAAACCCAGAAAAAAATCTGGACCTGCAGATCATGGTAGTAAGATGGAATAAATAAATAAATATTGCCACCATGAACAGGTTCACTTGTTGTCCATGTTTCCACTGCTATAGCATGTTGGTGTTTGACCATATCTAGGATAGGTACACCAAGAGCGTAAATATTGTTGTCTTGAGCCTGCTGTGTTTTAAGGGCAATCCTGTACACAGATTTCTCCAAAAACCTTGCAGAAAGAAACTTTCTGAGCAAACAGAGATTAGACCTGTGACAACATTTTACTATCAGTTCAAGTCCCCATTTTCCCCATTTATCAAACAGGAAATTTCCTAATCCACTCAAAGCAAAATTCCCCCTTTGACAAAATCAACAGGAGACGCTCATCCTTCAGAATCACTCCCCTGGGTGATTGATTGCGTTATTAACATTCTTATCTCAACAGGCCTTTGGAAAAGGCTAGTCTTCCATTCTTGGCAAAACCATCTGACGCCACCTTCAAGCAAGGATGCCTTTGGCAGAGTTGCCATCCATATCCAGACCTTTAGTTCTTGCACCCTGGTAAGAATACAAATGAAAACCATTCTGAGAAAGCTGGATATGGATGACGGCTGCAAAATTTAGGAAAATTAATGGTTCTATTTCTTCAGGGTGTTGAAAAACACCAGGAAGAGAAGCTGAGCATTCATCCACATGTGGTGTCATTGTTGGCATCATTCCTGCATCTTGGCTCATGCCCAACAGGATAATTTCAAAGAGCACAGGCTCAGGACCTCCATTTACTTCAAAGGTTTCTCTAGTTAGCCTGCTTCTTGAAAATTTGAGTAATTGGTTTTGACAAAGACTTATGGCTTTTATAATCCTCCCGCAACTCATATTATTGCTGGAGCATAGAAATACAATCCTCCTCTCGTGCCATTGAGGCAATTACACTAGATTTGATAAATGCACAGAGCAGGAAAGTTGTCTTTTGAAGAATTAAAAACAGAAAAGAAAAGTGAGATCACTTCAGTGGGGACGTTAGTTCTTGAATTCTGTACTTGCTCAGGAGTTTCTCACCGAAAGGTTAACACTTATGCCAGATACCTTTGGGGGCACTGATTAATTGATCCATGTCTACAAAGGCACAAGTGCTCGGATAGGACTTTGAGACAGCTTTCTAAGCTTAAT